GTTTCAAGTATCAGCTATATGTAATCATTGTTATGTGTGTATTGGATTGTAGATATTTTATGTTTTGTTGAGTTAAGATTATGGATTGTGCTTGTTTATTAAGATAATTATAGTTTGTTCAGGACAAGAACACTGACTTTCATAGGTTGAGAATAACCCTATAACATGTCGGTAAAAAATATACCATAAGCTACAATGTGCACAGATGCTATGAGGACCAAAATGAAACAGCTCGTTCTTTAATAAAACAAAGTGATTTGTTGTGTGTTTTACTGTAGAGAGTCAACTGTTTATACTAAGTTGAGATGAGCGTGTGGCTTGTGTCAGATTATTAATTATGTTTATTGAGGAGAAGTTGTTTACTATGTTCGATTGAGAGATTACATGTTATATTTATTGAGGAGAGATTATTTCTTGAAACAGGGTTGAGTGAAGACTATGACTCTTGTTTATTGAGAAAGGCTATTATTTATGTTGGAATAAATGTAGTTATTATAATAAGGAAATACTGTCTTCTATTTTGTATTAACCGAATATCATGTTTACAAAAAATAATGCTTGATTTATTTTTGGTTTCTCAAAAGATTGTTTATGTATTGTGAAGACACAACGCTTCATGCTTTCTTAGAATAGACTGAAATAAGACAAAAATTTGTGTATTATAACAGAATTATAAATCATAACGTATTGAAAGGATGGTTTATTGAATAGGTACTATTATAGCACGTGGTTCAGTTTTTTAGGCAAAGCTACTCAGTGGGTAATAATGTGAAGAAGAACTGTAGATTTAATGAAAGAACTTTGCCCTTCCTGTAATGTATTGAAAGGGGACACTAGCTTTTGTTTTATTAACATAAGACTGTGACCTATGATTGTTTATGAGGTTAGTAAAGTACAAGAAATAACTAAGATGATTCAACTAGATAAGGTTTCAGTTGATCCTCTGAACGAATACAGCGCATCTATTGTTATCTATACATCAAGAGATTTTCTATTCTTGAAGTAAGATATTATAGGATTAAAAAGTGATAGTCTAGCGATGTTTGTGTTCGATGAGAGTATTTCGTACAGATATTGAAATTAGTCATGTCTCGTATAAAAAGAGAAAGAAATTGTAAATCAAATGAAGAAGTTACGTCTTGTTGGGTTGTTAGATAACGTAACCAAAGTTCCTAAATGTATTTATAGTGGAAGCTTTCTCAGGTTGTTACGTCGAGATGCTCAAGTGAATAAAGTTCCTGATATAGATATACAGGGTGGCCCAAAAGAAAATATCAAATTGTTGCGATTACCGTTACCCATGGAAGTTTTCTCAAGTGGGTGGACAACGATTCTCATATGACTGCTGACAGAAAGAATCAATCCCTCATACGGCTATCCTCATGTGACTATCGACGAGATTATCCTCACGGAGATGTAGATTAAATTATTCTCATGATATTGTCAA